TTTAAAGTTGGTTTGGACAATAGATAATGATACATTTTTCTACTAATAAGTGACACCTCAGCCCCGGTGTCTACTAATGCTCTATATCTCACTTTCCCCAATTTCATAATACAAGAACTTGGATTTCCAGTTAAACATATCTTATATACATTTTTTCTACCACAATTTTTATTTCCCTCTCCATCGGCTTCAACATGAAGAGAGTGTCTTAGTTTTCCTGATGGGCTGAGTTTCTTTTTGAAGAGTAATAGGTGGGCCTGCGCCTGAACGACCTATCAAAACGGCCAGAATATCTCTGAGGACAATATCTGCTAATATGACCATAATTTTCACAATTCCAACACTGCAAATTGTAATCCCCTTTGTTTGTTGTTTTTGAAATTTCATTTACGCGTGTTCTATTTCTTTGATTTCCAATATTTTTTCTCTTTGTACCTATTCGTGTATGACAGAATTGTGCCCTGTGCCCTACCTTACCACATCTGTGACAACGCTGATTGCGGAAGTGATCTACTTCCATGGTCTCAATTTCGCGAGACGGGACTTTTGGAAAATTTGTATCTTCAAACAAATTTGAAATTGATTTATTTATCAAAGGCTCATGCAAAGAGGATTCATAAAGTGTGTCACTTGTTCTTAATGCCAACCGTTTGCGCAAATTTTGTTCATGCATTGCCATTTGAACCGCGTTTTCCAAAGTTTTAGGATTTCCCCTTAACAGTTTCATTCTAACAAAATCAAACAGCAAACCATCACAAAATATGTCTACCAACTGATTTTGAACAATTTGATTTTCCAAATTTTCTGGTGAATATGCATCTCCCGCTACCTGTAAAGCCTTTCGGCAAATACTTGCACACTCTCACTGAAAGTTTGTCTCATTTTTCTCATAATTGCCAATGCGTGTTGAGGGTCAGTAATTTCTGCAAATCGACTTTTTAAAAGATGTTTTAAATCATTCCAACTAGGTAATTCACCCGAAACTTCAATTTCTGCCAAATATCTCTTAACAAAGTCCCCCACAGACCCTTTACATGTTACATACGCGATTTTCGGAATATCTTCACTTGCCATGTTTGACATTTTTGCGTATTTCTCAATATCTTTAATCCACTGTTTGAATTTTACAAGATCCCCCTCAAAATAGGTAATGACCTGGTTAATGGGCACCGAAATAGCCGCAGTTAATGATTTAACCTGGTTCAAAATTGAATTCATCCATTGTTTGATATTTCTATCATCATCATCTTCATTTTCATTCTTTTTTGCCCCCATAAGGAAAGTACCCTGAATTTTCTTGTGTTTTATTTTCTTCCTCTAAACTTTTTGAATTTAACATTTCAGTTTCCGCCATACGCTGCGATAATTCATCTAAAGCTTTATCAAGCTGTTCTCGATGTGTTGGCGCCTTTGCCATTGTAAAAATTTTTCAATTTTGAATTTTGATGTTTATTTTATAAACTTAACAAATAATTTTTCGTGGTCATCTAAAAAATTAAGTATCAAGAGAAATTGTCTCACCTTAACGTCTCTGGTCCAGTACTTCGCAGGATCCTGGTCAAAGAGCACCAAATTGACTTGTACGATGTAAGCCAATGACAACTCTTGCGTCGATTTCAAAAGTTTATCAAATAATTTCAATTTACAATTTTCCGTGATCGTATAGTTTTCTAATTTGAAAAGTGATTCGTATAGACCAATGCTCAATAATGTTCACTAGATCCGTCCCAGAATGTAAAGAGTTTTAAGACCGAACTCCAAATAGCAAAATTTATCAAAAGTCCGAAATAATGATTCCCAGAATAATGAAATGCCAAAGAAGTGTAATAGTTTGAGAATAAAACCGGGAATAGGAATAAAAGCGGGAATGCTCTTTTCTGACTAAAACAGGGTATTTTGTGCTCAGCGGGTATCCATGATCTCGGATATAAAAATGCATTTTATTGGCTAATTTGCCATCAATAACCACCTACGCTTTGTCCGTAGGTCTGTCAGTTGACCAATGAACTCCAACATGGCACCACCCTCAAATGTAGGTAAATACATGTTACTAATATTTATGGGCTCAGTCCCCATCTCTGCACCACAGGAGTTCTAGCCTTAAGCTCTTTTACTTATTTACTTCAAAGTCCCCCATTCCATTGTTCTTAGTCAAAACTCTTAATAATACCATTGTATTTCCGTTCAAATTTTATTACTTACTATCGATGGGCTTGATTGGTCTATTCGGATCAATTTCATTACAAAATGATCTAACAAATTATAGTGCATTTGAACAACATCAAAATCCAATTTGTTTTGACAAGATAATAATTGTTTACAAAATAAAGTCCTCTTTCCAATTATAAAGTCACCGAATTTGCGCCACTAATAATATACATTCTGATTTAATAAACTTTTATATCATTTTACTTTCACTGCTAATAACTAAAAATAATTATCATGATATTAATATTGTCAAAGTTTAAAATGTTCAAACAATATGTCTTGGGTAAACCCTATAGGTTTACAAACAAATATAATAAATCGATTCACTTTCGCAGGAGTTTGCCCCGTTCATGAATCTTCCTTTGGGAAAATGTATGGCTTTGTTTTAATACAGACAAACAAATTCACAGAATTGTGGTCCCTCGCTTTTGGTGTCTTTGTTGGTAAGATGCCATGTTTAGGAAATATTTTGTCAACTATGAACGTCCTAGCATATGTCATTTAGAAATTATCACCGACGCTGATTTCTTTGAAAAGTAAGGTCAATCGTAAAGGTCAAGGGGCCAAAATTAATAGCATAACAGTAAATGTATTGTCATAGGTTACATAAATGCACTTGTCGAAAATATGAACTCTTTCTCTTGTAAATCAAAAGTTTCAGGGACCAAGATGTGTTTGTGAAATACTGATGCCCTTGTACAATATAATTTAGTTTTAACTTTTTCTTAAATGCAAAATAGATATATTGGTACCCAAAATAGGGTCTTTTTTACGAAAAATACGATTGAGCATTATGAAAGTTCTAACACATCTTGTTCAAAATTATGGCTAGGAATAAATTTCTGAAAGGTAGGTCAAACTTCAAGGTCAAAGGTCAAAGTTGTCGGTTTCTTAAGAAAGGTCTTGTTACAAGTATTTCGTTTGATAATTATAAAGGTCTTAGCCCTAACTGTTTCGAATTTATGAACAAAAGTTAAAGTTTTTAAATAAGTATAGAAATATCCAAGGTCAGAGGTCAAATATGTTGGAATTGTCTGAAAGATCTTGCCACAAGGATTATGTGAAGCATGAAAACCCTAACCCTTACCGTTTAAATGTTATGCTCAAGGATAAAAGTTTTTTTTAAAAGTTTCTTTAACTCCAAGTTCAAGGCTAAAGGATTCTTGAAATCCAATGAAAGGTCTTCTCACTAGGATAACATATGTGAAGTATGAAAGCCCTACCCTTTACCGTTCAAAAATTATGGTCAAGGTTAAAGTGTTTTTCATAAATACGGGAATCTCCAAGGTCAAGGTCAAAAGGGTAAGTTGTTGTTATCCAATGAAAGATCTTGCCACAAGGAGATTTTAAAAATGAAAGCCCTAGCCTTACCGTTCAAAAATTATGGTGAAGGTCAAAGTTGTTGGTATGAAAAAAGGGTCTTGCCAAAAGAATAAAACATATTAAGAATAAAAGTCTTAATACCTACCGTTCGAAAGTTATGTCAAAGCTTAAAATTTTTTATAAGTATGGAATTTCCGAGGTCAAAAGGTGAAAGTTGTTGGTATCCTATGAAAGGTGTTTTCAAAGAAAATATCTGTGAAATACGAAAGTCCTAGTAACCACAGTTCAAAAGTTTAGGCCAAAGTAAAGTTAAGATTTTTTTCTAATAAAAAGTTGGTCAAACTTCTAAGTCATAAGATCAAATTTGGCGGTACCCCAAGAAAGGTCTCGTCCTAAGGAATGAAAATGAAAGTCATAACTCCACTTAATAAAAAATAGGGGCGATGTTAATGTATTTGTGACGGACCAACAAGTAGACTGACAAACAGACAGACGGACAGACGAATAAGATTTAATGTCCCAACGCTTTCACAAAAGCGCGGAACAATAATGGTTTTGAGTGGAAAAAACCTTCGATTTTTTTGGAAATTGAATTAGTTCTGAAATATTTTTTTTCCAGAGTATAAGTTTAACTTAAGCAAGCTGGGTAAAATATGTGTCTTTTGTCAGGCAATTTCTTATGAAAAGTTTCAGCTTGAAATATGATTAGATATCTTTAAAAAAATACTGTGGTATTATTATTAATTCCCCGAAATATCGTTTAATTCAGATTTTTTACATATTAAATAGGATAAAAAGAAGGTACTTACAACTATATCTGTATTGGATAAACAACGGTTTTAAAACAGAGTACTCTGGCTGTGACGGTTACCATGTTTTTTTCTGGTAAAGGATAACCTTATCCAACCATCCTATTTCCCAGATTTCGTCGTTTCTGACAAATGGCCTGTTATTGTTATAAACATCAACTTCCATCGTAAGAAATATAAGACTTGGAAAAATATTTTAGCGTTGATGAACAGAATGCTTCAGCTAGAATACGTCACGTGACCGCCTTATTCAATATGTCTCGAGAACTTTGTGATCAACCCTTGTACAAGTGAAAAATGTTTTAAAAAACTAACAAGTTAAACATATCAGTGGGAATTGAAGTGGGTCGGTCAAGTGATCAAATCCTATGAAGACCGAATGCCTCTAAGGAAGATTTGATCACGTACCGACCTACTTCAATTCCTATTGAAATTTTTTAACTGTTCATTTCTTATATTTACATTTAAGCCAGACAATAGGATATTTTTGAATAAAAAATTCTTACTAAACGTTCGTCGTAGATTTTGAAACAAAAGATGTAGAGTGGCTTGAAATGCGATTATCATTTGAATTTATCAGGCAAAGAATTCTTTTTCTAAAGGAATATTTAGTGTAAGGCTACATGTGATCAGTAAAAGTGAACAGATTGTTGTCTGGGAATATTTTATTCGTACAGACTGATAAAAAAACTGAAAAGGCACAAAATACACTTGCAAGGAATGATGCTAAGACGTTGGAGGAAATTCGGTAGCTGGAAAGGAATGAATGGATCCGATGGATGGAGACACCTGTCCCATCCAGTTAATATTCAACAAGTTCTAAATCGGATGAAAAAAACTTCTACGATTTGAGTAATGCATATTCATGATGTAGACATAGAGACACTGGCGACAGCTTCATCTTTAACGACGATGAGTATGTTAGCTGTTCGGATCGTGATTGCAACGCTTTGATATATTCCAACATGTTTGCAAAAAAAATTGTGAGTAGAATTTACTGAAAACATTATACATTAGCATAACAATTAATCTAAAGTCTACGAGAAATGATTATTAGGCTAAAGGTTAGACACTTTGCAGCTGACTAAAACTTGTACACCTACCGGTGTACTTTCTACCGGTGGAAGATATATTTGCTATGTACACATGTTATATCCATCAAAAGCTGTATAGTTTACTTGTCCACATTGTGAATAAAATAATTACTACACGCGTATCTTATTCAATCTTATGCATGAAATACAAGTTAAGCAAGTCATTTTTTAGTGATGTACCGGTAGATAATATATTAAATAATATACAATATGTTTAATATGACCTGTGATGTACTTCCTACAAACACGAACAGAGATCCTCTCTGCATGTTTATATAATAGAGAAATACAACAAATATATGTATTTCTAAATAAATATTTGACGTCTTAATAAAAACAGTGTCAGATGTAAAATAATTAGAATTCTAGTGACTATAATTTGACTGTTGTTATACACATGATTGTATAAAGCAAGTTTACATTTTGACGTAAAATCATTATAATCCTTCCGGCCATCTAAAGTTTTAACAATGAACTGCATTGCTATTGTAATCATGAGGTGATATAAATGAAGTACTCTATGACTCTACTCATTGAACATAATTTTGTTAACAACATATTAAATAACACAAGTTCCAAATTATTTATGATCTTTGAAATAATTCAAATTTACAGCATTATGCTCCGTCATAATCACATTTTAAATGTTAATCGTTATTGATTAATACTTAATTTTGAAGGTTTTAGTAAATACATCAATACTGATGCACAAGGAATCCGGAAAAGGTATTCTCACGGTATTTTAAAATTTTTCCAGTAGACGACCAGTTGTTAGCAGCCCTTAGCCAGACCTCATCCCCAACCGTCAGTGTGAGTAAAGCAAAGATGCTGCCATTTGTACCTTCTGAAACACCTTGAGAGTATGCTGCAGAATTGGTATGGTTTCCATTTTTTGTAATTTCAACCTCCGCCGTCTTATGTCGTAAAGTAAGAATATTCACATAGAATGCATATAACCCATTTCTTGGACAGCGAAATATACCACTGTCTTTGTTGTAAGCATTACCCTCATTGATACTTACATATCCAAAAACAAGTTTTTCATTTTCTTCTAGTTGATATATAGATGTGTCACCTCTGAGCATAGCAGTAAAACCGACTCCATCTATGAACCAAGACAGAACTAGAATAGTAATGTACTCAAACAAAAAAATGTAAATCAGAAATTGATATTTAAAGTTGACATTCAAAATGTCAATAAAAACAACAATACATAATTATTTCTTAATAGCATAACACTCTTGTCTCTCTCTTGAAAATGAAATAATAATATAATTGTTCATATTCCAGTTCATTTATGGCACATACAATACTCAGATTACTCAGATTTCTTACCATCTAGATATAAGAACATTAACACAGCTCGTATACAATTGGAAAATCAAAGATCACGTTATTTCAGGGAAAAACAGCATATATTCAATGCGCAGAATAATTTTTTTTGCTTTTATTTAATACCGTAAATCTGGATATTTTTGCTGTAGGTAAAAAATTTTTTAGGAAATTTGCGAGTTCATATCATTCAAAAATATTTTTCTTGAAAATAATTCAACAATAAGAAAATGTAAACAAACTAGTGGTCATTAGCAAAATGTTGAAGCGTAAGAATTAATCAACAGCATTTTGACACAGATTCGCAAAATAAAATCGACGTAAAAATTTCCAGATTTACGGTATTTCTCCGTACTTTGAATTGTAAGTTGTTGGCATTTCGGATGAATTCTACATTATTTGACGATAGGCGTTCGCACGATAAAGACCTGTCATTGCTGAATGGTCTTGGTTGCCAAGTAAAAGTCTAGATTCGAAACCCTTCACCGAGATATATTGAGGTTTGTACATGTATGAATGAAAAACTTCTAGAATTGAACGTATCTACGAGGATTGTTCGAAAAGTTCGTGGACGATGTCATTTTTCGTTATAATACTCACTAGATATTTAAAATTAGAACAACATAATATGTTGAAATATTTGCTTTGTTAATGTGTTAAGTTTCATTCCATTTAATTTAACATAAAACAATTTACTTCATTTTAAAATCAGCATGTTTTGTAACCCCGGAGCACAGTTTACGACAATGTTATGTCAATATATAGCGTCAGGAATTTCCAAAAAATACTATTCCTATCCATTTCACTCAGTATGATCCAATGTTCACTCATTAATTTTTTTATACTTAATATTTATATTTTTATGAATTGCTCGAGTAGTATAATTTTCCTTCCTTAAGGTTTTAATTTATTTTCTTACTTAACTCTTCTTTTACAAGATAAGCAACTCTGAAGCGCATGTCTTTATGCCTCCTATGAGAAATGTCAGCCAGATAGTGCAGTGAAAAAAACCAAACACAGATATGCAGTTTTGTTGAATATGACATAATGTAACATGTATGACAAATCATTAAGGGGGATCAACTATTATTAAACAATACAGGTTACATGTACAAAGGTGAAAGGTACAAGTGCGATCCCCCTGAGACTGACTAGAAATTTACATGCAGTGAACATATCAGATTACATGTAAATATGCATAAAATGTAAAATAAATGAGTAAATCCTTGGAGACGTCAAAACAATTGCGCTAATCAAGAAACGTTTCACAAGTTATTAGAATAATACAAATATGGACTAAAATGCAAAATAATATAAAAGCAAAAACCCCAAAAAAGGGTGGGTGGTGGGTTTTTTTCAACGCACTACAAGGCTAACAAAAATGGCGCAACAAAATCATGAATTTTGATTGGATTACTCTGTCAAGAAAAGCAAAGGTTGCGATTTCGCAATGAAAGGTTATATGATAATTGCGCTGCGATAAAGGCGCATATCCTGCAAATTGCACAGGGATGTGCAGAATTATCCCAAGGTGTAAAACATAATATATTTCTCAAAGCGGCATAAATTGAATTATATGTGATAATATTGCTTTCCTTGATGTTCCAACTTTTTCAAGGTTTTGTTAAGATTTTTACAGTTATACCCGTTCTTCACAAATTGTCCTCATCTAATACAAAGTCTCTGTCATTCAAATACCGCCTGCATTATTTGTACACACATGCAAAACTCACTCGTGACATATTATTTTTTATCGTTTAAACTTTTAGATTTTATTTAGGATTTTTTTTCTGAGTAAAACACGAAATTGCAACGTTTTCTGCTGCTTCTTGACGTTCATAAACATCGTTTTTGTCGTTTTAAATGAAGACTAACTTTCTTCTCAAGTTGATTTCAACAAAGCAGAGTATCAAGCTATAATAATGAATATGAATCGATGTAACAACTCTTAATTTGAATTCCTAGGTTATTTTTCATGTTTAATCCATTTTTCAGAGAATATGAATACAGACAACATTAAGTGTATTGATCGTAACTGAATATTTTTTTACTTGCTCTGCGATCCAATTTTTGAAATCGGGATAAGTTTTGAATAAAGCGTGATATTGAAAAAAAAAACGTTCACTTGGATTTATTGTTAAAATATTTCTCATAAATTTGGATAACATGTGACGTCAAATAAAAAAAATATGACAGAAATCCAAGAACTTTTCGACCTACCCTCCTACTGGCATACAATTCATTACTCAATTAATTTATGAATATTTATCGGCTTTGACATAAGTCATGAGTACAAATAAATGAGTGCTTATATGAAGGTGCAGGTCACATATATGTATATATATAATGCTAGATTCATTTTGTGTGGGAAAGGTATTGGGTAAACATATCTCATTTTTGAAATAGCATCGTTAGAATTCCTGAATAAATATAACAGATTCAGGGTCCGCCTCAGATTTTTTTTTTTCGTAGATTCCATTTTGACATTCCGACTTTGAACTTACGATTCAATTTTTCTGCCATTGTCCCTTGTTTTGAAGGTAGTTCTTGGATTGTTCCTCTCATGTCACTTACAATCTCTGTAATAATGCAATTTTTTAATTATTCCATATTAAAAGTATTTGCTGGAAATATAGATGGACTTCGATTATTATTTTTACAAAAAGATAGTGCATTGCATGAACAAGTGTACATTAGCGCATATCATGTATATGTTTAATTGTATATTACTTCAGAAGATAGTGTCTGTTTATAAGAAGTTTAAAACTTACACCAGTTACTTATCGTCTAATATATAACAAAGATTTCATGACTCAATTAATGGCAAAATGAAAAAAAAATCAGAGATAAGCAGATGATAGACTTAAGAGAGTAATACCCATTAAAGAAAATATCTGTATTTATCAATATATTACGAACTGTGTGTTCTTAGCATACATGTATTCATTTACTAAGACAACAGGAACTCTATATGTATGAGCATCGTTGATCTTAATTGACTTGTCATCCAATATTACTGTAAAATTATAAACCGTATTTTTGATGGTCTAGATATAAGACCCAGAAGGTCTATCAAAATTGGGGACCTTTAATTATGGAAGTGGTAAAAGAATAATTCTGTTAGGTATAAGATTTTTATACTTTAGAGACTGTGGCATAAATATACGAGAAAATTAATTGAAAAACCTCACATATTAAGAGCAAAAAACACACTTTTTACATGAGGTGTTCTGTTGTTTTTATTCCCGTTCATCCAAATGTGTTTTGAAATAAGTGAGCTACAGATCTAATGCTATAGTATAACATGTTTGTACATATCTACAATACCTGGAAAATATCTGGGTTTTGTTTTCTTGTTATACCACAGTGTTAATATCAAGCACGCCATGTTGATATATAAGCCGCGGTTACTTCTCTATAGAAATCTTGCTCATATGCTTTAAATTTACTCATTCAAGATGACTAATTCAAATTAAAAAAACATATATTACTCAGTTTCAAATTCCTTCACAGCAGAGATATGCTCACTAAGAGAAGACCACAAACGACGTTAATGGTAATCTTACAAACTTTTTGAAAAACGGGATGACTTTAATTTTTCATCGTTCTGATAGTCAAATTCTCTTACTGATGCAGCACTATACCTTCATCGACTGCATACGGAGTGAATATATCACAATTGATTCGATACGCAAGAGCATGCTCTACTTGTGTTCTTTGTTCGATACAAAGACCTTGTCAGCAAATAAAATTTATCATTGAGTCAAATGTTGACTGACGTTTTTCATGCTAATTCTTAGACTATTATATGTACGCAGAATTGACGACGGATTTTTCTGATATTTTCCAATCATGACGAGGAGCACAGGCCGGGTTTGAACGGTCGGCAGGAGATGCTCACCTCTCCATGGCTCCTGATCCCATGGATGATGTTTTGGAGGTCCGTATTTGCTCTGCTCCTGTTTTCTATTGTTTTATGTACTTTCGATCTCCATGTAGATTTTATATCTATAGCTTACATTGATACCATAGGTTAACATTCGACCAAAAATGTAACTCTAACGACCCATCTAAAAGTTTGAAAAGCATACATGTATCAAATTTTATACAAAACGGTTACCCATGATTAAGTGTGATATTTGTCATCTAGCTTGAAACTGTTATAGATTTTAATGTTCAACACACACTTTTTAAAGTTATATTCAGTTAGGACTGGTTTTCATATTCTTGATATAGAGAACGTTATTTAAATTAGCTCCTTCGAAAAAAAAATCAAGATCAGTCAATCAATTTTAAGCGTATAATATCGTAATATTAATGTAAAACTGTGAGTCTTTAAAGGTCATTTATTCATATAAAAAGACAATGCTTAAGCAATAGTTGATCCAAAAGTTCGTGAAATTTCTGAAAGGATGAAGTGACTTGCGGTCCCTCGTATACTGACAAAAAATTAAATGTCCAAATTGTACTAAAATTCTTGTATGTAACTAATCAGTGATATGTGTACCTTTATAGAATACATTTTTTTTTTTACAAAAATAGAAACCTGATTTGAAAGATATAGCTCTTTTATTGTGGTAGGGGTATCAAGTTTTCATTCAATTCCAATTGCATTTTAACCCCGCCCCACTCTTTGAAGCCCTTAAAATATACGCGCGCAGTAGGTACAATTTTCTCTTTTGGCTGGTCACTGTATTTTATTCAAATCTACCTATATGTGAAAGGAGAAAATTGTACCTAACTGCGCTCACATGCTATTTTTTAAAAACTTGTAAAATCTAGTTGGCCTTTCCCATTATAAACAGCGCAGGGGTAATAAGGAAGCATACAAAATATTCTGCCTTGACTAAATCAGTACTACATTATGACGTCATATGGTAGGCGAGGTGACGTCAATTTTAAAACACAGGTTTTCGTAATATTGGTATTTAGAGATGTAATGTAACTCTAGAAAATGAATAGAAACGTGTAAACATTAACAAAAATAAAATGTTTTTATTTTGTTATGTTGTATGTGTCATTTTCATTAAAATCTACCACGGATGACGTCATATGTGTAGATCAAGTAACTTGGGAATTGATCATGTCGTGTAAAGAGAATTTGGCTAAGACGGCATGTACATAGATACGAAAAATGGAGTTTAAAAGGAAACATCGTGAATATTATGTGAAATTTATATGGAGTTCAGTTAATTAAACAGGTATGCTAATTTATTTTCATTAATTATATTCTCTTTCAAAGACAGTCAGCTATATAAATTTCCCGGTCGGCCTTTCCTCTGTCATTCGTGACAAAAATAATGCAACAGAAAAACAATAAGCTTGATATTCCAAAACATAAGATTTGTACAGGTGGAAAGTTTGCCTTCTAAAATACTTGGAAAGTGCTGCTAGAATCCCGAGTTAAGCATTGTTTTACGAAAAATCTCGGTTCATACAGTGTATGTATAAAATTAAAAACATGGGGTACGTTTTCATGTGAATGTGTGGAATAATTATTTTACTGACATGAAATTGGGATTCTAGCAGCACTTTTTAGGCAAAATAGATGTTTTTCAACTATATTATTTACTCAAAGAGTGATGGTCCATAACTTTTGAGTAAGTGTATATTAATTTGTAAAATTCTGACGCAAGTTGAAGGATAGGGGTTCCCTATATTTGGGACCTTTTAAAATAGGTGATGCAAAGTCTTTATTATTAACAGCTTGTCTAGCAGGACTATAGTTACATGTATAGGGTGAAGAGGAACATGAAAACGACGGAGTAGTAGGTTTCAGATATTCGATATCCAGGCCGTGTTATTTTTTTTTTTTTTTTGTAATTAGGAAGTTTGTTCCACTTTGTATCAGGTTAAAAACTAAACCTTGTATTTTCAACAAATATACATCATTTGACAATTATATTTAACAAAAATACAAATTACAGAAAAGTTCGGGTAGTAAGAACACGGATATTGCGCATTCAAGGATAGAACGAAATTATCTTGGACTCCCAGCTATATAAATTAAAAAAAAATTCTTATACGAGTAAAACGAATCACGGATATAGGGAAGTAATTTCATAAGTCCCAGTGTCTTCGTTAAAACCGAATTTTATTGTAAAATCGATTTTATACCTAACAGCAATAATATGATTAGTATATGAAATAAATCTCTTAAGAAAAAAATAGCTTAAATAGATAAGACGGCAAAATTTACATGAAAGGGGAAATGTAATGAGATCTTGATTCAGATAGAAAAATGAAGCTGGAAACTGAAGCAATATTTTTTTTTATCTTTAAAATATAAAAACTAAAAATAAAGTTATAAAACTCCTAGACGTATTTAAACATAGAATGCTGCCTACGAGGAAATAAAACAACAGCGTAATAGACTTATTCAAATACCAATGATTCCTCATAATATCAAATTTTGTTATTACATGAATATGATCAAATTGTCTGTGTTATATTTCAAAGTTTAAAAAAATATACGAGTATATCCACCCTTGTCTATAAAACTCTCGGGCAAAAATTAATTGTACAGTTAAATCTTTTGAATGTCTTTGGTATTCATTTCAAATATACTGACATTTCATAATATTTCCCTTCATTTTTTATAAAATTTATGTTTTATTCTTGAGAAACAAATAGATATCAAGTGCCCATTTTAATGCTACGGATTTCGGTTCACAAGAAAAAAATTATCACTAACATGCTTATCAAAAAGTGCGTACTTTTAAAAATATTTAATTCTTTCTCGAGTTTTTCTACTTTCTTGTCTTGCTCTTTAACAATTCCTCTCAGGACGCTCAATTCATTGTCTGCTCCGGAACAGGTAGGATGGAAGTAGTCAATTTTTTGACCATTGTAAGATTTAATCAAGCACACCATCATGATCAGAAGGATTGTCCAAAATAAAGGCATTGCTCTAGACTTGTTCTTTCTCAGAATCTAAAAAAGAAACGTATTTAAAAGATAAAAGAATATAATGATTGGATTCAAAATCGAGTAAAGTGAGATCAATTTCATTTACGAGAACTTGCGCTCATGAAACGATATATGTGCAACACTTGACATAATTATAATTGACAGTAAGGTGATCAACCAGGTTATGTGATATCGGAACAAATGTATTAATGGGTAGTTCAAGAAATTGTTTTTCTTACATTCACATTTCACATGCACAAAGCGATATAAAACATAGCTGGAAATGTAATGACATGTTTTGAATACAATATAAAACTGTGGAAATCCTTATCATCCCCGAATTAATGTTTTTTTTCTTTGGATGTTTTCTTTTGTTAATGTCACGGTACTTGGAGAGAAACATTTAATTTCAGTAACATATTTTTAAGTATACGGAAATGTATTGTGTTAAATTTGTATTTTTTAACTTGTTTTTCTTTGTTTTTTGCTTTTTTTTAAATTAAACAGAACATATATTTTTTGTGAAGCTAAACAGGTCAATATAGAGCAACAATTTAGATTTTCAGAAGTGCAATATCATTAATCCGGGCAATATCCTTCCTAAGAATGATAATTCTGACATTTTTAACCTATAACAACTAATACTAATGCTAGCAGGATACACATGTTACATGTGTGTGTGTGTGTGTGAGAGAGAGAAGACGGTGTGTGTGTGTGAGGGTGAGGGTGTGTGTTGCAGTTGTTTTTGCTCAAACTTTGTGTTTTCATAAATCCCCTACGAATCCGGAGTCTGCTTCTATATATATAATATGCGTATTGCATACTATTACATGTCCATTTACGTGTTTGTAGGATCTATCTTTTCAGATTATATTCTCTAACTATATAGATACATTTCAACTGACCTTGCTAGATACTAAAATATATCACTTTTTCTATTATATTCAAATAATTTTTAAAATATGCTTATCGTTTGAAAAGTGTCCTTTATTATATTCTTATTCATAATGTTTTATTTATGTCTTCTACAGGTTCCATTTACATTATGATAAAAAAAAATCTGATTGGTTGATAAAAAAAAAATATTCCTTACCGACACATGAGTCGTTATATATTTGAGAAGAATAAATTTTAAGAATTTTTCTTTGAAGATGATATATAATTTACACACCTTATCATAAAAGAGATAAAGATTTTGTTTTCATTTTTTTTTTCAACAGTCAAAGAGTCATTTTTGGCCCCCTTAAAATGAACATTTTAGAATGCTATTCATAAATGCATAATTGAGTTTTATTTTGTAGAGGAGATTATTTTGAAAATATTTTAAATACATTTTTGACATTAATATGCACTCACAGGCAAAATATGATGTCAGAAAATGTGCTATTTTTGCAATCCAACTAAAAAAAAAACAAAAATGGGCTTTTTCTTGACATTTTTTCTGATGGGAAACATTAAGCGCAACTTGGAACATGCAAAATTTTTCTGTCAGTAATAAGTCTAATAAGATACATTTTTGGTAAAAATATTAAGTTTGTTCTAGTTTGCGCTCAACATTTTCTGGAAGAAAAACTGCTTGAAAATAAGCAGTTTTATACAAAATATGCTAAAATGGCGGGAAAACGTGAACTTTATGATGTCATATTTCTCAATTAATGGCATTTTGATCGAATTGAAAATTACCAATAAAGGTAACAGATATAGCCGTGCAAATTAAAACTACGTATCAAGTAAAAATAAGATATTCATTTTAAGGTCCTATTGAGATACGTATCATATATTGCTCTTGATCTATTTAATAAATAGGTTAGAGGAAGGCTTTAAAAGAAAGGAATACGAAAAAAAAAATGTCGGGGTATCTTATTTGGATTCAGATATTCCCACAGAAAACAATTTTAAATTTACAAAGGATATTTCTAAATTTAACATTTTAACAACAACAAAAAATAATAGAATATAATAGAATAGTTCCTCTCCCTTTCATACAATGAAACAACACCAAGCAATGGCTCAAAAAAAATTTCGTTTTTGACTAAGACTATCAAGCGATTACTCGTTACACATCATTCGAAAAACATTTAAAACAAACATACTTTGTGTAATACTTACATACGTTTGATTCCTTTACTTAAGGCCACTTTTTGCATAAATGAGTGCACTACAACAGTACAACTTGCTTAAGTATCAAAGGTTTGGTCTGCTAAGTTGTTGCTGTAATGTTAGCCGTCGTGATATAATAAATATAAGTGTAACATTTAAGAATACATATGCATAAGTTGATATTTTCTAATGAACAGTTTCTACTGGGTATCCTGAATACGATAATTTATGTTACTTTACGTTGAAAAAAAAGTTATTTATATTTGTTTGTCTGTTTTGAATATATTTTTCATAAAGTGATACAATCATAAGATCATAATTCATTTTTAAGCTCCTTTTAAGATTAAAAAAAAATATGTTTCAATCTGAGGAATCAGAAAATGTTCCATTTCATACATATCTCTTATCCTACTTATGCGTAGTTGATACTATATTATACGAAGGTTGTTTTTTGCAATTCGATAACATTTCATTTGTTTCTGGTTGTAGGTAATTACAATCAATTTTATAATATGATATTTATTATTTTGAAACTTTTCTAATTACAATGGTAAAATTAAATCTATAAAATCATATTCTGTCCATATTGATGCCTACAGGCATTTTCAAAATTCCTTTTGATCAATTTAATATGCAAATATATATATTTCAGATTTTTTTAAGGACTCAATTAAATTCTATGTAACTCAAAGAAAATAAACTCATGTAATCCTTTATGGACGTGGCTTATTTGCGTTGAATTATATGCATTCTGAAGCTTTATGTCATTGTAGGTCTTTACTCAAAATTCAGTTTTTATATGTCCTCCGCTTGAAAAGTGGGGGATATTAATCTGGATCTGTCCGTCCGTCCGTCTTTCTGTCTGTCTTTAACTTTCGTTTCCACACGATATCTCGAGAACCCTTTGAGCAATGAAATTTTGTATAGCAACTCGCTATGGACTAAACAAGACCCCTATTGATTTTGAGGTCAAAAGAACAAAGGTCAGGGTCATAAATTCGCAAATTCTCTCTGTCATAACACTTTCGTTTCCGCGCGATATCTCAAGACCCCTTTTAGCTTTTGCAATGAAATTTTACATAACAACTCCTTGTGGCTAAAGAAAGACCCCTTTTGATTTTGAGCTCGAAAGGTCAAACTTCAGGGTCATAAATATATACATTCTGTTGTGTGTAACACTATCGTTTTCGGGCGAAATTTCAAGAGGATTTTGAGCTTTTGCATTGTAATTTTATACCAAAAGTCCCTAGGACCTCTCTCACTCCTCTCAAAGTGGCCCGCCCCGTTTGTTTCATTAGTATTTATTATATTACATCTCGCTTTTTTTAGCACAGGGGCATGAAGGAGAGTTATTACGTATAAAACATGTTCTCGGCGGACTTTATACTCTTATTACATGTACATCTATTAGAACTGTTTAATAAAGGTTAAATTAGACACCATGCATTTTGTAAAATTTTGACAATATATCGAACGTGAATATATACATGTATGTGACTTAATGTTTGTATATAGTTTTCGCCTTGTTAAAGCGGTTTCATGGTCTAGCGGTATGTCTATCGCTTCACATGTGAGAGGACCAGGGTTTGCATCCCGGAAAATCCATTTTTTTTCGAAATACTTTTGTTTTTGAAATGATAGTATTCCTTATGTGAAATGAAAAAATTTATGAGGTCTTGCTTGTACAAACTCATAAAATCATCATTACAGTGTGATAAATATTCCATATCAAAAGAATCTTCTACACACATAATAAAGAATAATCAATCAAACCTTTATACCCATATTGGCATAATTTATTTGCTTTAATATACATTTAATAATTCTACAAATTCAGTCAAGGGGATCCAAACTCACCCCCGACCCCTGAACTGCGCATGGTTTACTTTTTCCCTAAGCGGGGAACACAAATTCTGTGAATTAGCTTGGTTTTTTTTTAGATCAGATATTGATCTATTTACAAGAACATATAAGAAGGAGTAGAACTTTCGGATATGAAATGAAAATGAATGAATGACGAATATCAACTCTTTCGTTTACAAGCGTCATTTCGTAAATGGCCGATACAAAAAGCCACCCTGATTTTTCAAATTATACCTCAGATGGAGCATCAGGGGCAGCATCAAGTATTATTTTAGCGGTCTGTTTTTTTTTGAGCTTATAGATTCTCTCCAAACAACCAGCTGAAGCATTACCCCAAATACTTATCAGCAAATACAATCTATCATTTACTAGTACTCAAATGCTGAGTAGTTTCCATTAGTTACACACTGTACTGCTTGAAGTCTTTTTATCGTTATTTCCCGATCATGACAAGGAGCATACGTCATGGGATGCTCAGTGGTGCTTTTCCAGTATGATCAGACGTAACAATCTATCAAAACGAAAAATAAAGTTATGGCACCGAATTTGATCTCAAAATTGCGTCAGAAATCGCACGTCGTCACCTGATATCGGTTAGAACTGCATTTCTGATGATATGTCAGTGCTTGAATAAAACTACCTCCTCACGCCATAACATACATCAGCAAAGCAATCATATTGAGGTATAGTGCTTCCTATCTTTACAATGAAAGAATTCCGTCATAAATCCCCATAAAAATGGATTTGTCTTTAAAGAGTACGGATCTCAGGTGATTGATTTGCATGGTATATCTTACAAACTCCATTCTCCTTCTCCTGCGGTCTGCAATTAGAATTAGGTGTGTGAAAGGTAGTTTTTTTTCAAGCTAGCTTCATTTAACCTAGACCTTCAAATTTCATTAGAAATGTTTACTATACGTGAATTGCCAAAATATATATTTACAGCAAAAGCGATTGAATTCGGTCATGCTTCTCTTAAAGTACACGTTTTGTTCTTGCCGGGCTGAAGGAAATAAATACATCCATATACATTTCCTGATACCGGAAATCAGTCAGTAGGGGATGCTCAGTCCTCCACGACACTTGATCTCACTTCCGATGTTTTCTCTGCTCCGATTTATGTATTTTAAGGGCTTTTTGATCTTGAATACTGTCTGTTATAATCATATGTTTCACCTTCGCCTGGGGATGTCAAAATATTCACTTTCCTTAGCCGAACGCTGGATTGCATTATTCGAACAATAGTCGACTATTCGGAGCATTTTTTTTTAATCTCATCATTCGCGTATTTAAATAAACACCCTTTTCGTAAATTTCTGTAAAAAGTAACATCAAATACCTATACTGTGTGATAGGCACCCATATTCAGATGAACGTTCAGTTGGGATAAGATGTAGAAATGAAATAGATTTACACCAGCAATTGATTCTCCAAAATGTATGAATTTTTGTAAATCACATAAAGTGGTATGTACATTCCTTCTTTCTAGTACGCTTAAAGACTTGTCAGCAGTGTTTTTAAAGCTTAATTAAAATAAATTGCAAAAGGGGAGGAGATAATTGTTGCAATAATTATCGAAGCTTCAACCTTAACGGCTATTCTGTGTTCCTATATCATAATTTAAACATTCTTAGAGGTAATAAATACATTTATAATTGGTACAAGTGCAATTAATAATTCTCAAAGTCCAATAAAGCGCTGCCTAATTTATTACAATAACAAAAAGACCAATAATTGAGAAATCATTATCGCGGTATGTTATTACTTTTCTTTCCATGTAAACAGTGTGGAAACTTTTTGTCCCCGGCTTGAAAAGTGGGGAATATTAATTTGGGTCTGTCCGTCCGTCCGTCCGTCCGTCTTTCTGTCTGTCTGTAACGCTTTCGATTCCACACGATATCTCCAGAACCCTTTGATCTTTCGCAATGAAATTTTGCATAGCATCTTCCTATGAACTAAGGAAGAACCCTATTGATTTTTAAGTCAAAAGGTCAAAGGTCAAGGTCATAAATTTGCAAATTCTGTCTTTTATAACATTTTCGTTTCTGGGCGATTTCTCGAGAACTCTTTAGGCTTTTGCAATGAAATTTTACATAACAACTCCCTGTGGCCGAAGAAAGACCCCTATTGATTTTGAGGTCAAAAGGTCAAAGTTCAAGGTCATAAATATATACATTCTGTTTGTATGAAACACTATCATTTCCGGGCGATTTTCTATGAAGATTTTGAGCTTTTGCAATGTAATTTTATACCAAAACTCCCTAGGGCCTCTCTCACCCCTCTCAAAGTGCCCCGCCCTGTTTGTTTTATTAGTATTTATTTTATTACATGTCGCTATTTTTAGCACAGGGGCATGAGGAGAGTTGTTACGTATAAAATAGGTTCTCGGTGGACTTTATATTCTTATTTCATCTATTAAAACTGTTTGATAAAGGTTAAATTAGATATCATGCAATGTGTAAAATTTTGACAATATCGAAAGTTAATATATACATGTATGTGACTTCATCTTTGCATATAATTTTCGGTAGTTTAGAGCGACTTCGTGGTCTAGTGGTATGTCTCTTGCTTCACATGTGAGAGGGCTCGGGATCGCATCCCGGGCGATTTAAGTTTATTTTTTCCGAAATACTTTTTTAAACTAAATTATAGTGTTCATGTGAAATGAAAAAAATGTCTGGCTTGTACCAACTCATAAAATCATCATTACAGTGTGATAAATATTCCCTATAAAAGAATCTCCTATACACATAATAAAGAATAAGGAATCAAACCTTTATATCCATATTGGCATATTTTATTTGCTTCAATATACATTTATACATTTAATAATTCTACAAATTAAGTCAAGGGGATCCACCCCCCCCCCTCCGAACTGCGCATGGTTTATTTTTCCCTAAGCGGGGGACACAAATTCTCTGAATTACCTTGTTATATACTGTGACTGTGTTTCAGCTCTTATTCGTCTACGGAAAGAAACAATAATGGCTCGAGGAATGACGCTTTACAATTTTGTGTTGAGAATTCTTTATCACTTCCATTTTTTTTTTTGCATTAATTAAATATTCGAATGTCGTTTCATTATTCGATCGTCGGTCTATTCGACTGATAGTCAAATAGTCAGCTAGTATTCGTTGACATCCCTACCTTTGCCACAGCCGAGCAATGACGTTGTGTAATCTATTTATCAACCTATCAACTATATTTTGTGACCACCTATCTGACCTTCCAGATTCCTTG